TTGCAGGCCCGGTTTGATTGAGCCTGCTCATGGACGGTAATGGAAAGAGCAAGTTATCGTCCACGCCCCCTAGCACCGGCTTAAGCAAAATTCAACATGAACTGGTACAATTTTGAAACATCCGCAGATGTGTTAATATGGCGATTATCATGGAACCTTCAATGTGACACGTAAGTGCCATACCATGAAAAACGGCATATGATCCCCAAGTAAAAAAAACACACTCTGAAATTCAGTAAGAAAAAAACATGGCGCCCCTACTTACTTTTTTTTTTCTTGGTCAATTTTGATAATAAACAAGATCATCAAGGAAAGGCGGCGGAAAATTACATAATAATTGCAGATTCGGTTTGATTGAGTCTGCACATGAGGGATAATGAACAAGTGACGATTATCATGGAGCCTTCAATGTGACAAGTAAGTGACACGCCCCCTAGCACCGGCTTGAACGGTACTCAATTCTCAACACTTAATAGCGCTGGCATCAATGATCCCGAAGGACCAGCAAAACACTGAAGTGAAGTACGGGGCAACTTTTTACAACTGCCACACGGCACTTGGCACCTGCTGTTGTGAAGTATTAAAATCTGGAAACAAAATGATCCCTCGGAAGCATTAATCACTACAAAATTACATAAGAATTGCAGACTCGGTTTGATTGAGTCTGTACATGAGGGATAATGAACAAGTGCAAAAAGTTTTTATTCATACTGAAAATACCGTATTAAAGATTGTACATATGTGCTACGGATAAGTATTTTCTTGATTTCGGAAAGGAAATCTCGGTGGCCGCTTTAATATCCTATTTTTGCAAATACTTGCATAGTTTTTGTTGAAAGTGAAATTTGTGCCAATACATTTTTCAATGATACCAATTAGAATATTGGATGGTTTTTACATTATCAATAAAATTACTCCCTAGAAGTTGGTCATTGTTTCCCCTAAAAATTTCCAAATCGCCGATGTTTCTCAGGAATATATGATAAACAAGATCAACAAGGAAAGGCGGCGCTCAATGAACGCAACCCTACATGACCCAGCAACAAGAACAAGTGGCAAGAAGCCCAGGCGGACCCCAAACAAAACACAGGACAGGGCACTAGGCATAGCACGGACAGGCTAATCACTAAAATGATAAATAATTTGTAACTGATAATAACACGATGTTAAATCTTCATCATAAATGGTAAAATCAGCAATTTTCAAGTGATGTTGCTAGTGACAAAACTTTTGTAACAAATGCAACATATATATGTTATGAAAAATGCCGTATGTTGTCCTTCAGTTTTATTTAAAAATATGGGAGAGGCGCCGTTTTATACCTGTCCGCAATAGAAGGTCGTAAATACTCCGAGAGGGGCGGAGCGTTATGCTTGACTTAAAATCGTTTAATTTTGTGAATCTACTTTTGTCATTTTAAACATGTTACTGTGTTAACGTACTCTTGTAGTTCTACAACTGGTAACACGTTTTCTTAAACTCTATTTTCCGTATTCGAGTTTTACATTTCATTTGTATATTACAGATCTATAAGTGTGCAAACATGCGTATGTATTGCATGCAATGGAAGATACGAACTTGTAAATTTGTTGTCGTTTTAGATGTTAGGTCAGTTGTTACGATATATATGTAAACTTGTTATATAAAGGCGTTAACCTTCAATTAAAAGATTGAATTAAGAGGCATACAATAAAAATGGTAGGCATACAAGTTCGCATTTTCAAAAGTCATTTTAAAAAGGAACACTTTACATGTCTGGAATTTTGGCAACGAACGCCCTCCATATACATGACTCTGTTACATATGTAATTTTTTAATCTTCTGATCTAATCATTGGAAACATTTTGAAAGCATCTTTTCTAGGAGCACTAAAATGCAATGGAATATATCAAATTGTTTGCCGAGTCTTTGAAACAAAAGGAAGTCACTAATTACAAGATATTCCATGAACATACCCACGTTGCCTATATCAAGTGACTGTTGGTGATCTGCTGCTTCTTTTTCTCCCACAAGACGTTGATCAGTCTGTGACAATGATCCATGAATATATTTCAGTCTGTGACAATGATCCATGAATATATTTCAGTCTGTGACAATGATCCATGAATATATTTCAGTCTGTGACAATGATCCATGAATATATTTCAGTCTGTGACAATGATCCATGAATATATTTCAGTCTGTGACAATGATCCATGAATATATTTCAGTCTGTGACAATGATCCATGAATATATTTCAGTCTGTGACAATGATCCATGAATATATTTCAGTCTGTGACAATGATCCATGAATATATTTCAGTCTGTGACAATGATCCATGAATATATTTCAGTCTGTGACAATGATCCATGAATATATTTCAGTCTGTGACAATGATCCATGAATATATTTCAGTCTGTGACAATGATCCATGAATATATTGCAGTCTGTGACAATGATCCATGAATATATTTCAGTGTGTGACAATGGTCCATGAATATATATCAGTCTGTGACAATGGTCCATGAATATATTTCAGTCTGTGACAATGATCCATGAATATATTTCAGTCTGTGACAATGATCTATGAATATATTGCAGTCTGTGACAATGATGTATGAATATACTGCAGTCTGTGACAATGATCCATGAATATATTTCAGTCTGTGACAACGATCCATGAATATATTTCAGTCTGTGACAATGATCGCATGAATATATTCAGTCTGTTGACAATGATCCATGAATATATTTCAGTCTGTGACAATGATCCATGAATATATTTTCAGTGCTGGTGACAATGATCCATGAATATATTTCAGTCTGTGACAATGATCCATTAATATATCGTATTCTGTGACATTGGTCCATGAATATATTTCAGTCTGTGACAATGATCCATGAATATATCGTAGTCTGTGACAATGATCCATGAATATATTTCAGTCTGTGACAATGATCTATGAATATATTGCAGTCTGTGAAAAATTTTATGAATTTTTCAGTCTGTAAAAATGATCTATAATATTTCATCTGTTCAATGACCATGAAATATGTCAGTAGTGTACTGTTTTAAGTGGTTTTTGTGTCATAAAATTCATAAAAAGCAGTATGGCTTTTTTGGTTTTAGTAGTATTGTGTTCAGTAATGTCCTGTCTGTCATTTTTCCCATTTGTCAGACAATTGTCAGTAGTGTCCTTGTTTCAGTGTAATTTGTGTTCATTTTCCTGGTTATAGTGCCCTTTTTCCTGGTTATGGCCTGGTTAAATGTACAGATTGTAGCTGTTTCATATGCTTTGTACAAATGTGTATATGTAAAGTTGTCTGCCTTATTTCATGTGTCGGGTCAGTTGATAGTGTTGTGTGTCGGGGTCAGTGTGATAATGTTATTGGTCTGGTCAGTTTTTGATTAGTTATTATTAATTTAAATTTTATTATTATTTTTTATTTTTTTTTTTTCATACGAAAGTAATTTTAGGGAGTACGGAATCGAACCGCAACCCTAAATTTGTCAAAAGGTTACCCCTGCACCACGGCCCCCTCTGAAATTTTTGGAATTCCTATAAAAATTATCACATTAGTAAACAGAAAAATTGATTTTGCAATTCGAATTTTACACACTAAATAGTTAGGTTTAAAGGTGTTTTTAATGGCTGACATTCGTGTCCTTGGCTCGAGGGTTGTGAATAAGAACTTTTACACAAACGAGTAAAAGTAATAAAAGGCTGTTGACAAGCGATAAAAAACATACCCAGAAAAATAAAACATGCTCGCGTTACCCCAAATCGCAGTTCTAAATATGCAATAAGTACTATGTTGATTTTAAGATAATGAATGGTTTGATACAATCTATTTCAGTCTATTTTATATAAAGTTTAAAAATATTCTTTTGGGCGGAATTAATGTGATTAAAAAAGTATTTTAAAGCAGCAAACCTCAATAGTTTGGGTCCGATCAGAGAACTCAGTTGTTATTCGTGTGAATCCCCCAACTATTTGAAATTCGAAACTTCTGGTAGGTAGTTTGGGATTCGCGCGAAAACTTATACAGCTAGGTCCCTCCCTTTATTGTGTGTTTAAATGAAAGATGTGCTCTAACATTTCATGCTGATGATAATGGATTGAATTACCGACTACCACCTGTTTGGAACCACCTGTTAATCAGCTAGTGAAGGACTAGGTATAAGTCTTTAGTGAGGAAAACACGAAGATGTTATAACCTCCGGCAAGTTAAGGAAATTAAAAATTTGAGGTTGTCAAAACCAAAGAAGTTTTTCCCTCGAGTCATTTTTCAAATATTTTTCTAAACTAGGAAATGTTTTTTTTTTTCAAATCTGAGGAAATATTCCATATTCTTGATTGGTTTAGTTTAAACATATTTATTCTCAGAATATGTACATAATAACATTTGAAATATATACACATACAAAATTTGACAATATACAAAGAAGAGGATTAGAACGAAAGACTAGGTCTTATAGAATTCTTCTCAGTTGATTGGTTTAGGGCAGGCGTTTGATTGGTTTAGGGCAGGCGGTGTTCGGGTAGGAATGGTCGAATCATGTTAATTGTATATGTCGCGAAAATGATTTACATTTACAGAGTTATTCAACATTGAACTGTACAATACAGGAATACATTTGGATAAATACACAGAGATTTTATTTTGGTCAAGCTGTCAGGCGAGTGTAACATTATGATTTATCAAACTTTACGAGTTCAAGGATATCCCGTATTGTTTCGAACAATTTTGACTAACCTACTTGTGAAACATCAAAAATATATTTGGGAAAAACGCTTTCATTTTTGCAAGACGTTTAAATCTTTCAATGTTTTTTTTTCAAGATATTATTCCTGATCCTTGACGTGATATTGAAAAGGTCATACGCACTCATCTATCCAATATAGAAAGAAATTTTTGATTCTACAGTGCCAAATATAGGAAGTTTCTTGGACGATAAAAAGGTAAAATTTTAAAGCAGAGGTGGAATGAAAAGAAATATAAAAACAACACCAACAATATATTAAAAATACATCCTGCAATTTTATTGACGAAAAACGGAACCATGAACAAAAATGAACAATTAAAAAAAACATGAACAATTGCTGTGCAGTAAATAATCACGCCCACTCCATGTGTTTATTCTCTCCTTTGTAACATTAATAACAAAACAACGTCTCCCATCCAGTATTTCTGAAAAACGAAAATATTGTATCTTGTAAGGAATAATGAACTTTCATCGATGTTTTAAATGCAGCAAAATTCATTTATTAAATTTTTCATCAATTCTAATTTACTTTTTATTTACATCTACAAAAGTGTATATAAAGTACATACTTTTATGTCTAAAATCTTATATTTACAGCATATGAAAGAAAAATGAAGTATTTAAAATAACATTATAACAAATACGATTTAGTTTGGAATAAAAGCATTCATTATAAACAAAATTATAACTTGACAAAAAGTTTTTCGTTTATTAAAAAGACAAAATAAGAATAAGCCTTGACCGTTAACATAAGACGCAAACAAACTTCCAAGCGAATTTTTAAAAATAAAAAAAATCTTAATATGATGTAAAGAAGTAACCAATGGAAACAAACATGCCACATGAACGCTTATATGCAAAATCGAAGATAAATATTTGAGTTTTTCTTATATATCTATGTATAACAGATTTGGTTTGATAACGAGCTTTGGATAGTTTCTCAATTATTTTATTTTGCGTCAAATGCCGCTAGCCAAGGCTCTTGTAGTTACGGAATGGCGTCTTGTCAGAAATTTAATTCAGTGTAACAATAAATGAGGCTCAAATGACAATGGATCAAGCCTGTAAATAACCAGTTTTTTATTTCAATGATATACCGTGCCGATAAAGTAAAATTAAAAATCACAAATAAGTAATACGTGCAGATATTTTGTATTGCAAGATTTTTGGATTCCATATATGCATTGTTTTATTCAAACACGATTGCTTAAAGACTTAGTGATACCAAAATATACTGAAGATATTTTGCTATAAACTATAAAACACCAGTTGTTCCATATGTCTGACAAGACGCCATTGGTCAGTAGTGATAAACAAGTACTACCTTTTTCTCTCTAACTCGAGTCATTAAAGAATTGTATAGGACCCCCATTGTTGTTATTGAAACCGAATAAGAAGATGAGGATAAAGAACAGTCCGATCAAGGCCAAAACTACAAATAAAACAAAAGATAGCTGTCCATACATTGTTATTTTATTTTCATTTATTTATTTATTTATTTTTATAAATTCATTATCGTATATGAGCGTTATTAATTTAATTTAATCCCCGATGAAAAGAAATCAAGTTGTGTTACCAACTGATTAACTTGTATATCTCCGATTTTGCATATAGTTAGTTGTTTTAGTTCTTTCTTTTTGTTCTTCTTTTTAACGAAATTATACTATTGACGTTAGATTCAACAGCGTTCCAGGAAACATTTATGAGTTTGTTCCTAAGGAGAAAACAATTTGCAAAATCGAAGACAGAAATGCCGTGGATGGTCAAACGTTAACTGGTCAAGGCTTAACTCGTACCCTTCTTAAGTAAAAGTAGGGTGTAACTCGTACCATGCTTATGTCGCAGTGGGGAAAGTTGTAGCATTATAAACGGTTACGGAGCCGTTATCTGAATCGAAATTGAACAAAACAACAAGCAGGAAGAGGAGTCCAATAAGAGCCAATACTACAATAAAATATATTGAATTTCGTTTTAAAAATATCTAAATATTACGACAATTTGACATGTCTCTGAAATGAAAAAAAAAGTTGTCTGCTATATAACGGAAGAGTGCGTTTCCTGTAGAAGTCTTTTAAAAAATCAAACCTATCTCCGATTTTGCATATTGCTCTTCTTCAATACAAATTTCGGACGCCATGTATACACCTTTAATTCACTTTTTAAACTACTTTCTTTTGGCATTTTTTCTATTTATTTTTTTTTTTTTTTAGAAATGTTGCGATGGCGTAAATTTTTTTACTAATCAACTTAAATTACGAACGAGACATGCCAAATGCCAATGCAACTATATCAATACTGTGACATGGCGACTGATAATTTGTTTACAAAGCTGTCCCGGTGTACCCTTTTCCCCATTTCCCCCATCTAGTACAGTACAACGACCTCTTCAGTGTCTTAGAGTATTACCGAAAATTAGAAATCAAACACCGGAAGATATCTAAACGACTGCATGCATTTACGGTCAGTTTCAGAATACCTTTGACTTTATCTATCCATGTTTTGTGATATTCCTAACTACGACATTCTGACCACTGGTAAGAGCCGGGAAAATGGAGGCTAATATAACTAAGAGTCCTATAAGTGCGAGCACTAAAATACCAAAGTTAATATAATAAACTTTTACATGAACAGTTGACAGTTATTCTCATTATTCAACAGTTGTCAAACAAAAAGCAAATATTTTCCATACATATTATGAAATGAGTATGTACTGTACATTCGAATATTCAAAGCATCTAAACGAACTCCAATATCTAAACGAACTCAATTATTTAAACAAATTCAATTTGAAAAAAGAACTCAAAGATAAAATAACAAGAGCAAAGAAACAGATTACTATCTTGTTGTGAGATAAAAGTGAATATAAAATTCGTATTTTCTAAAGAATTACTTTCTAAGAATAAAATACAGGTGAAAATTAAGTTTGATAATGAAACTTGTCAACTCAAAAGTGGATTAAAACAAAGTGTTTAAGTATTCTATAAAAAAATATACTATAACATAGAATTATCTCAATCTGTGTCTGGTTATGATTCTAGTTCTTAGTTTTATAATGAAAAGTTTTTTGTAAATTGCTGAATAATCTGAAGGAATTCAATAGCAAATGCAAATCTAGGACACGCTAATGTTACTATATACAAAATGTATACACTGTTACTATTGTAAAATGTATGTAAAGTCACACTTACATCCCCCACCGCCAAAACCACCTCTACTGGTACCTCCATAACCTCCCCACTGTCCGAGTGCGAGCCCCAAAAGGCAGGCAAACATAAGAACGGTCACTACTGGAAGCTTCATTTTGTATCTTTAAGAAAAAGAGAGAAAATTGTTACTATTTTGAAACAAAAGAAATGTGGTTCTCACACATCTGTATCTTATCTTAACTTAATTAGCTCGTTTATAAATGTATGAGAGTATGTTTAAGTAACATATATAAATACGTAACATATATAGATATGTGTTTAAACACTTATTTTCACTATGAGTGAGAGAGGTAATGATACATTGTCATTTTTTACATTTTTCCCCAGTTATTTATGCATAAAAAAATAATAATATTTACCTTACCAGTAGGGCTACGGCACTGGTTCGTGATTCACTGAATGCGAATAGCGATCATTTAAGGTTTTAATTCAATATAAATAGCCCAATAAAGTGTGAAAATGGGAGGGCGCTGGGCGGGGATAAAAAATCAAGGCACGTGAAAATAACCGGAAGTCTACAATTAACAAATACAACTAAATTTATTAATTTGTAAAATTGACATTGAGGAGTGCAGAAAGTCATGAAAATGACCCTCTTAACTTTTATTGTTATTTCAATAATTTTATTATGAGGAAAATACATACAAATGGTTTGCCGTAAACATTTTATAAGTCAAGGTTTGCTAGCGGCTTGAAGGGAACTTTAAATGCATACGTCTACTAACCATGAAACTTGAGGAGTCATACGGCCCTCAGGTAAACTTAAATTTAATGATAAACGTATATGGTTGCAGACAAAATTTTGAAACAAATAAAATTTATCGCCTTCTTTCTCCATAAATGTATGTAACACAATAACACATAAAACAAGAAAAGAAGACATGTCAATTTTTGAGATTTTATTTTTGGGCATACTTTTTTGCTTCTCTGACAAAATTTTTAATGATATTTGACGTGAAAGTATCTGTTTCAGAAAAAATTAAAAAAAGTTAATAAATATTTTCAATTGATTGTATGTGAATAAGTCCATGCAATAGCTTTGCAGCTTTCCTTGCATGTAATGAAAGGCACATGGCACTAGCAGATGCTCACCTGGCATAAAGCGTGATAACCAATCTGACGAATTTGTCTGCAGGTGTTTAGACCTAAAGGTACATTAGGTAACCGGAATATACAAAATAAATTTGTTTCCATTACATGTTATTGTTATGAAATCTATTAATAGTAACAAATTGCGGTAATTTAAGAATGGTTGGTGGCTGATAAAATTCAAAATATAGTAATTTTATATCAATAATGACAAAGTTATTTTTCAAGAAACATTTTAATATTTTATATCATTAGAAAGGTCTGTAAACTCATATATTTATTATACAGCAAAAAATAAAATTTCAAAACTTTTTTCCTTTTTACTTGGTTAAACTCGGTGCTAAAAAACTATTGAAAATACGGTTGAAAAATACTATAGTAGCCGACTTTTCTTTTTTAAAAGTATAAAATGAAAAGCCGCTTATATTTCCAAAATATGAATTTTAATAACTTTCAAACAATATAAGGATCTAAAAAGTCAATCCACAAATAAAAAAGTTATAAGAAATTAAAGTTTTGCTGCTATATAATGTTATAAATATTGGCTCTTAATCTGCTAAGTTCTGGTAGCAGGTGCTTTGATGTCATCGTGTTATTCCCTATAAATAGGACACAAAAGCAAAAAGTAATATTCATCTTCAACATAACTACTACACAGTTTACGCATAAGATCACTATTACCGGTTTTATTCTATTTCTAAAATATGTGACGATAATCTTAATTGTCCTTTTTCTAATGGAGTTTTTTCCCCATTACAAATGAATACTAGTATTTTACAGAATTAAGTCTTAAATGTACTGTAATGTTTTTGTTTTGACTGTAAAAAAAAAGATTTCATTCGTTAAAAATGACGGCTACAAATATTAAATAAGAAAAGTATGTAGAAAGTTAAAATAAAATTATAAAACAAAAGTACAACAATCTTATTAAAGTTGTGATCCCTCAGGTTTGTTTTGTTGTTGTTTTTACAGGCTTCAAAAAAGAAGGGTGGCTCTTCCAAATGATAGCCCGCCTAAAACATGTCCTTACATGGGCGGTAATCAGTGCATCTAATTGTTGTTTCTGTATATAATTCTACGTTTTGTTTTGCAAAAACAGATAATTCTCTAGAGCCAACCATGACCTACCCATTTGTCCAACTTTGTTGTTAATTTGCCCATGCAATAGCTTTTGGCTACCCTTAATAGGAATCCAAAACACTTGGCGCTAGCTCAATTAACATGGCCACCAAAAGCCGGCGTTGCTTGAACGTAATCCGGTGCAGTGATTAGTTATTAGAAATGTTCTGTTATTTCCAGGAGCCAAATGTTAGTGATCGGATTTTGTTTTGGATTGATCCAGTAAAAGCTTTGAGGTTGCCCTTTATTGAAATATAAAACATACAGTTCTAGCGAGTCGAAGCGACACATATAAACGAAAGTTATGACAAATTGGGACAAAATGTGTAAGTGGCCGGGTAGCTCAGTCGGTAAAGCTATGGAACGGTGTACCGATGACTTCGAATTTTTCTCAGCCTGTGAATTTTTGGGGGATCGTCATGGTGTACAGCTCTAAGAGTATTTACATTGTTCTCTGTACCAATAAGTTGATTCAGGACAAACTCTGTTGTAGGGGGTTGAGTATTGCGAGAAATAGAACTGGTCACTTATTAGGGAGAATGTGTATAAGCGGCCGGATAGTCAGGTCGGTAGAGATGCGGAATAGTTTTCGTACAAGTCCTGCAATTGGTCAGACTGTACACTGTCTACTTCTAACTGAATACTGCTTTCTGAACTGATCTCACTGTCTAACATTACTCGCTGTCTAACATGACACGTTGTCTAACATTGCTCGCTGTCTAACATTGCTCGCTGCCTACCATTGTTCAATGCCTCACATTGCTCACTGTCTAACATTGTTCACTGTATAACAATGTTCAACATTGCTCGCTTTCTAATTTTCAATGTCTAACATTGATCGATGTCTAACATTGCTCGCTGCCTAACATTGCTCGATGTCTGACATTGCTCACTGTTTACTGTTCCCTGAACGTTTAAAATGTTACAGGGTGAATTATGTAAGAACATTTTGATCAATATAATGCCATTTATACTGGCATGGTATAAAACTGTTCACTAACGGGGTATTGATGAACTGTTTTTAATTTAGATTAATCATTACTATAGTCAACAGTTTTGAATGCTTATATTGTTCTTCTTCAATTTAAAACAGTTTCTTCTAATATTCTTGTTAGAAAGGGACAATGTCTTCAAATAATTTGGCTGCCAATATATGGAACGGAAGGAAACACGATTTAAATGCGCATTGATTTTAGTATGCATGATGTAGGTAAAAATAGGTATTTTGATAAAGGCAATCCTTATTACCGTTTGAATCGAAAGAATATTTTATACAATGTATTGTAAAACTAAATTATCCAACAATATTTGAAATATCTTTTATTTTAGGTGTATGGTGTATGCTTTGGCTTCTGTAAGTAGGGAATCTTTTGGTCATTGTTTTAAACATTAAGTGCCTCTAGATTGTTGATATAGATAGTAATTGTTCTTAAACAAATGTTTGTTTTAATGATTTACGGAAACTAACGAAATTCTTCCAGAATACACGGAAACTAACGAAACTCTTCACGAACATTAATCAGTGTTCAATTAAATTGTGTCTTGTTTACATATTTGAAGGTTACCCTGTGTAACTCGAATACGATTTTCATCCTCATTATAGTCATTTCTTTGTAATTGTTACGATATTGAAATGTCAAGTTGGGACTATTTGTAACTGATGCAGTCGGCAATTCTTCGGTTTTAAGTAGGAAGCGTACTATTTGATAGGGCGGTGAAAAGTCGACTCTTCGCGTCTCATCATTTTTCATACCGATCAATCACCAAATTTCGCTACTATACAGTATGCAGCGAGTAGTTTCATTACACATTACAAACATGTAATTTAAGCATTTGCATGCTTGGAAAATTATCGTCTGCTAAAAATATTGTTTATTTTTTCTTTTTGTTTTCCTTCTCTCTTTTTTTTTGGGGGGGGGAGGGGGTGGGGGGTGGGGAGACTTTCTTATACACGTACAAACATTCTGATACCAAACTCGTTTGCAAAGTATATTGCTATTAATATCACACAACAAACTAAGAACGCTATAAAACTATGAGTCAAACAATGTAACAAAACATACATTTTAACAAGTTTTATTTAAAAATTTGAAACAAGACAAGATTGTTACTGTATGCATATATAACGATATTTTTTTTAGATTCGAACTGCCGTGATTCTACTGCACGGGTGCCAGGTGTTGTCCGTAAAGTGCCACTCGAATACGTGCCGACCGTTTCTAAAAGTAGAAAGAAACATTATAAAACAAATTAAGTTTTAAATTAGAAGAAAGAATATCCGCATATTAAGTGTTTAATTCGCTTACTTTAGTTAGATTCTTACAAATAAATTAATAATAATAATAATAATAATAATAATAATAAAATGAAAAAGACGAATGAGTGTGACAGTGTTTCATAATTTTTTTATTGTTTTGATTCTGTTTTTTTTTAATGTTCTATTACAAATATTCATTTTTTCAATTAAGAATGGTTTTAAAATTCGAACAAAACATTAAATTTGTTGCCCGTCCGAAACATTATTCTTAAAGAATGACTATATGTTTCGTGTAATTTTTATTTTCAATGGAATGTTATATATTTCGTTTAAAATTCATTTTATTAAATATTTCGTTTAAGTCTAACGCGGCTAATATTATGCAAGCAGTGTATTATTTAAAATCAAGAAGTTTATAAATAAATATAAGACAAGAATAAAATAGTATACATGTAGGGTTGATGGAGACGATTCTGCTAGTGGCGTTATCACTGTTGAGCTGACTAAATAAGATCACCAAGATGAACAAAATTCCGATGAACCCGACTGTAATATAAAACAAAACATGATCATTTTACTACACCAACAACAGCAAAAAACAACAACAAAAACAACAAAATAAACAGTTTTAGTCCGGATAACGACCAATTTCACATATCATACGTTCATCCGTGTCTCAACGCTGTTTAAGTCTAAAATAAAATATTTCTTTTCGTTGTTGTTGTTGGAGTTTTTTTTTGTTTGTTGTTTGTTGTTTTTTTTTTGTTGTTGTTGTTGTTGTTTTTTTTGTTTTTTCGCTTTTTTCGAAATGTTTAAAGAAACAAAGATAAACATCTACATATTATTAACTTCATAAATAACTAAAGTAAAATATGGCATACTATAGAAATATTAATATAAAAAAGCACGTACGCAGCCATGTATTGTAGCCGTCACCGCCGCCGCCGTAACTATAGTACGGTACGTAGGAGACTC